ATAAATTTAAATCAGACACTAACAACAACAACACTTACAGACAGAGTAGGGCAGTGAGAAGCATTACCACATCTTAAAAGCACCTTCCCCCCACCCCTCCCTTCTTCCCGGCTCAGCTCTGCTCCTGATTTCTCTAATTCCTTCCCACCAGCAGTGCAGGGGGCAGGGAATGGGGTGTGCAGTCAGTCCTGCTGCTTCTTTCTCTGCAGGGTAGGGGAAACTGCTCACTTTCCCCTCTCACAGGAGACAGTCCTCCACAAAGTTTCTCCAACATGAGTCCCTCCCACGGGCTGCAGCTCTCCCTGAGCTCCTCCAGCATGGGACATCCCTGCATGTTGCAGTCCTCCCAGCACCAAACTACAGCATCAGGGGCTGCTTCTTCCCACAGGGTCCTGCCCTCCTTCGGGTATTGTCACCTGCTCTGGTGTGGGCTCCACCACACGCTGCAGGTGGGCATCTGCTCCACCAGTGACTTCCATTGGTGGCAGGGGGGGTGGCTCCTGGTGTCTCACCATGGGCTACAGGGGGGACTCTACTTCGGCACACCTCCCCTCCTTCTCCTTCTTTCTTCCACTGACTTTGGTGTTCTTATAGGTGCCCTCCTCGCAACTCCTCCTCACAACTCCAACTCTTCCTCCCAGGTTCCCCCTCTTAAATGTGTTATCACAGAGGTGCAGCCACCAGCACTATTTGGCTCGGCCTTGGCCTGAAGCAGGTCCAACTTGGAGCTGAGGGAGCTTTGGAGAAGCTTTTCACAGGGGGGCAGCGCTGTAGCCCCCTCCCTCACTACCAAAAACCCAGACACACACACAAACCCAGCACAACTCACAGTGAGGAACTCACCACCACCAGAGACACATAATGAAATACTCTAGCTCTCAACACAAGCATATGGTCTCCGGTGGGTCTCACATGGGAAGGCTTCTCCCAGTCAAGTGTTGCTCCTTCTGCTAGAAAAGCTCCCGCACAAAACCGCTGGATACCCCTCTTGCCATTCTCCTTCCCCTGTAGGCAGCCACCGGTTTGCTCTCCACACATGCCTCAGGGTGTCACACACTCTTCCCTGCTGGAGCTGCTGAATTCCTGTCTTCTCAAAGGCATGTCTGCAGATAACCCGAGTTCTCCAGTAAACAGTGGTTAGGCTGACTTTTAGGCAAAAAGAAAAAAAAGTCCTGTTTGAGTGCTACAACCCTGTAACTATTTTTGGGTTTACCCACCTGTATAACAAAATGTCTCAGGTCTGAACAGACACGGACAGCAGATTTGTCTCACCAGGAGAACTGTCATGAGAACAGCGTTAGTGAGTCTGCAAATCTTAACAGCTTAGGAAGGTCATTTAATTCTTGTACCTGACTTCCACTACTCTTCAATATTTGTCGAGAAATTTCACCTGGTTATTCTTCTACAAAGCTTAATTTGTGCAGCTGGTTATTTTTAAATGGCACATACTTCTGCATGGCAAGAAGGAAAATTAAGGAAGAAAATTAGCCCATAATGTTCTTTTCTGCCTGTTTAATAGGCTCCACATGTATTAGTCTATTACAGATAATTCTAACATGTAATTTATCAGGTTGTACTGTCAATGCATCCTGCCACTCTGCCAGAGCCAGCCGCTCAAATACCCTGCAGACAGCTGATGATGGTAGGATTTCTCCAAGGGAGCAGATCCTCCTGATGCAGGGTGGGGAAAGGCAAGCAGGAGCTGTTGGACAAACCAGGAATCATCTGCCAGGCAAAGCTACTAAGAAAACAATAAGGGAAGGCAACTAAGAATGAGGGGCAAGCGGAGGGCAGGCTGGGCAGCACCCACAGCCCTCCAGCAGAAGACGGGACGGGGGCAATGTGTCATTTGCAGATGGGGCCCCTCGCAGGTGGCTGGCAACTCAACCACCACACCACCACTTCTGGGTCTCACTACCGGTATCCCTGGGTGTTATTTTTGACAGGAGAGCGCCAGGCAAAATTTCTTTGTTCAACACACCCCACTGAAACAAACCCAGCAGTTACTAGCCTCAAACTGCTTCAGCGACCAGTCCAACTTAACCCGAGTCGTGTTTTTGGCTCCCAGACACTACCTGCATGCGAGAGCTGCTAAATAAGGCCAGCTGCTTTGGGAGCAGCCGTGGTGACTCACGCGCCGACCCACTTTCCGACGATGCAGAGCCGGTGGCTGGGCACGGTGCGAGGCGTGGAGGAGAGGCGCAGCGGGGTCCTGCAGCAGCCCACCTGCGGCTGCACAGCCTGGCCGTGCCCAGGCAGCTGTGCCACGCTGCTCTCAAACGCGCTCTGCATTGTCAGGCACGCTAAATATATGCCTGTGCTCTGCAGCCAACTGTACATCAAGCCTGTTCATGTGAAACACGCAATGTTATATTAAGCGCAGCTAATGAATACATGGTCTAAAAAGCTAAGGGGAAAAAAAAAAATCTTCTTTAACCACACCAAACAATTTATACATCTTTTCTGCTTCCACATCTGACTATTTTCTTGCATTGGATGACATGAAAAACAGCGCAAGGAGTAAGATCTCAAATGCATCCAGTGGCTTTGCAATTTAAGGCTCCGCTCTGAGTAGGCAGACAAGGAGAAAGTAATTGGTGATAGATGCAGAGCTAGAGAAGGCAGAGCAAAAAGCATCAGCAAAACACTGAAAAATAAACTCAAAAAGGCAAAGCTGAGAATTTGGATCACTTGAAAGCTGAGGAGGATGGTGGTGGCTTTTCGAACTTGTCCACTTGGCTTCCAGGATGAACTTTTTGATATTCCGGACATTAAGTGAATCCTGATTAATACTGCACAATATCAAGACTCTGTAGTTAAACATTCACACAATATAACAATAGAAACAGGCTTTCTATTTCTAAAGACTAAGAGGCTTTGCATGTCAACACCATGATTGAAAGGGCGCTTCTTGGAGCATCAGCAAGGTGTTTTTATATGCATAGACACTAATATTCAGTATTTTTCAATTTTATCCCTGTAATAGGCTAGGACCACGCAAACCATCTGGCTAAATCCAAGATTAGAAAATCTGTCTAGCAATATATCCCTTCTTCTCTCACTTCTTTTAACAGGAGGTTATAAATATCACATACAGTGGGGTGTACCAGACCTACCAGCCATGGTTTAGCCCCAGGAGCTGTATTTCAGTGCCAGCTCAGCAATATAGATGGTAACCCAAGCATCCAGGCAGGGGAAAAGCACTGTCTAAAAAGTAGATGGATTACTGATTGTGTCAGCACGAGGGGTGCTGCTGTAGTCAGCAACCAGAGCCCATGTTGGATGACTGCTCTGCGGTGCTTTGGAGAGGTACAGACTGAGGGCCCCCAAGTTCAGCTGTTACCCGTCTGTGACAGTGAGCTCTCTGGCAGCTAACGGAGCCGTGACCTCCTTTAAACCCAGTTCCAACCCCTGTCTTTGCCTCGTGCTCACTGATTCGGTGGCGTCCACTCCCCGGCCTCAGAGCCCAGGCCAGGCAATGTGGGTGCAGGGGATGGAAAGGAGCAAGAAGGATGGCAAGGGTCTGGCAAGCAAAGAAGGGACCGACCCAACAGGGAAAGGAGAAAGGGGGGGGACTGTGGGTGGAGCCATTCACGTCAAAAAGAGCAGGGGTGAGGCTCATCTGGCACCCCCCGCACCCCTGCACACCCACAGGTCATGCCAACAGAGGGCTGCTGAGCTCAGAAATTTGGCAGAACCCCGGGCCAAGACGAGGCGACCGGGTCCCTTCCCCAAGCCGGGCAAGGGCCTCGCCGCGCCGCGGCTGTGGGCTGGGGGCGGAGGGCAGATGTGCTTGGTGTTGGCAACAGTTGCTCAGGGCAACACCTTCTGTTGCCCCGTGGGTCACCTAGAGACCTGCAGGGCTGTCGGGGTGCTGGAGGGTGCAGTCCGCTCGCCAGCCAGGCTCGAGAGGGAGAGCTGTGACGAGTCAGACTTGCTGCTTGGCCAGTCCCTGACCAAGGTAAGGACATCAACCCTCTGCCCGGCTCTTCCCCAGAGCACAGCGATCCTCAACAGCTGACCGCAGCCGCATCTGGCCACTGCTCACCTCACTCGAGGATACACTGCTGGAAATTTGCCCCCATCTCAGCTGCCTGAGGACAGCGACCTCCTCCCCAAGTTTCCCTTCTGAACCAAAATGCTGCCGTTGATAAAAATGTCTTCTGCAGGTTCTGTGGGGATGTTGCCGTGCCACCTAGTTCTCAGGGTGACAGATAGAAATGCTGCCACTGATGAGGCAGGTAACTAATGAGGCAAGGACATAGGGGGACAACGGCGATGCTCAAGATAGACTCTTTAAGAGAGACAGTGTCCACTCGCTTACATCCCAAAATTATATCACCAAACAGAAAGGTTCAGGGATATTAGGGATGGGAACACCAGTGCCCCAATAATTGGATGCTATTATGAAACTGTAGCTGCGTACTAACACTATATATCCATAACACAATGTGACTAATCCCTTTGGATGGAAACAGTGTTTGGCTGCTAGTAGCCCAGCAAATGAAGGTGTTATTGTCATGGAAAACATTACTTACCATTCCACGCATCGGTATAAGAAACACCTCCTTTGTCTATCCACGGATGGATTTATGTCAAGCCAAGGGAGCAGGACACTGCTGCTCTGGTTTCCTGCCACTTCCGTGGGCACTGGGAAGTGCAGCTCATGCCTGGCATCGGTGGGGCATACGCCACCCACGCAGGTTGCAGGTCACCAGCGCCGGTGGAACTGCACCTCCGCCTCTGGCTGTGAAAGGGACATTCATCATTCAGAGGACAGAAATGCCTGTCCCAAAATAGTCAGGCCATTAATAAATGTCTGCATGAAACTTAACGGCCTCTGCCGTACCAGAAAGTCTCACCATGTGTTTCTGACCGTTTCTCTGAAATCTACTACTTGAGGCAGCACACATCCTACTGAAAATTATCTTCTGTTGGCTAAGGTAGGTTTTTCACACACACTTGTTAAACAGAACCTTCTCTCTTGTCTCTTTATGCAGCCTGAGCAAAAGACGTGGCCGTGGTTGCCCACAGCATGGATAACAGCAGCGGTCCTTTTGTTCTCCCTACCTTATTGCTCCTGCTGCAGAACGAGAGCTACCCCAGAACCAACATCTCTCCTGCTGGCTACGAGATGACGGAGTCACCCAGAGGACCCAGCTCAAGCAGGAACCTCACCGGCTTGCCGTATGAACTGTGGCCAGAGGAAATTGCAGCAGCCAGCATGGTTTGGGGAGCGCTGTGGCTGGTTTCTGTCTTCGGAAACTCCCTCGTTTGCTTAGTGATCCACCGGAGCAGGAGGACACAGTCCACCACCAACTATTTTGTTGTCTCCATGGCTTGTGCAGACCTTCTCATCAGCATTGCAGGCGCACCCTTCCTGCTGCTCCAGTTTATCTACGGCAGGTGGGTGCTGGGGAACGTGATGTGCAAGCTGGTAAGGTATGTACAGTACCTCACCCCTGGAGTCCAGATATATGTGCTGCTCTGGATAAGCGTGGATCGATTCTACACTATCGTCTACCCCCTGAGCTTCAAAGTGTCCAGGGAGAAAGCCAAGAAAATGATTCTGGCCTCTTGGCTGTTTAATGCTGCATTTGCATCACCGGCTTTCTTTTTCTATGGCTCCGGCAGCGATGACCACTGCAACTTTTTCCCCCCCAATTCTTGGGAAGGAGCTGTCTACAGTATCATCCACCTCTTGGTGGTGTTTTTGATCCCGTCCATCCTCATTATCCTCTTCTACCAGAAGGTCATCAAGTACATTTGGAGAATAGGCACTGATGGCAGGACTGTCAGGAGGACAATGAATACTGTCCCAAGAACAAAGGTGAAAACCATCAAGATGTTCTTAATTTTAAACTTGGTGTTTCTCCTGTCCTGGCTCCCTTTTTACGTGGTACAGCTGTGGCACCCACACGAAACAGACTGCAGAAAGAGCTCCTTGGTTTTCTTGGCCATCACCTGGCTCTCTTTCAGTTCTTCAGCCTCTAAGCCAACCCTTTATGCTGTGTACAATGCAAACTTCAGAAGAGGGATGAAGGAAACTTTTTGCATGTCTACCATGAAATGCTACAGAAGCAACGCATACACCATCACCACCAGTTCCAGGATAGCCAAAAAAAATCACGTTGGGATTGCAGAAATCTCAGCTCCAGCCAAAACTGTCACAAAAGACTCCATCTACGATGCTTTTAACAGAGAAGCAAAGGAAAAAAAGCTTGCCTGGCCTATTCAGTCCAATCCCCCAAATACGTTTGTCTAGTTGGTTTCATTGCTTTGAAAAGTTACTCTGTACCCCCAGAACAAGGACTTTTCTCTCCATTTTGAACCAATGTCTATTTACATATTTTTAACACTACTTTTAGGGAAGAAAAGAAAAAGATGTTTTATTTTATTAAATGCGTTGATTTTGATGTGTCCAGTCTATTTCCTTTCAGTTACATCCTGATTTTTGGAACTACTCTCCCAGAATCATAAGCATAACCTTTTTTACAAAGTTCTTACACTCTCTCTATGTAGAGAAAATAGGGAAATAAAATACTCTGCTTTTTATATCCCTGTGCATTGGTCACAGTGTATAAATGCCTAAGTCCACTCAAAGCCATCTATGCTTCCTGAGACAGCCAGACTTTTTTTTTTTTTTTTTCCAATTACCAACCTCATTAATAAGAATGCGAATGAGTCTGTGTGTTGAATATTGATTTATTTTCTTAATTCCCTTAGTATTTCCAAGTAGTACAGTACCACACCCTCAGAAAACACAGATAACTATTTATCCACAAAATGAGGGCAGCACTAGTATCCAGTTTGTGAATTGCACTCGCTCTGCCGGATCAATGTGCTTCCGTGAGCTGCAGCCCGGGCTGCTGCGCCCCTCACCTGAGGTTTCCATTTTGTCTTCTTATAATGTCGACAGGAGTGTCCTTCAGGGTCAGACTGGAGGTCTGTCTGTTCCAGTATCCTGTTGTTCACTGTAGCCATCGGCGGGTGCTTGAGGATAGAGTGTAGGAAGCAGAGAAGCTACAGAGAGGTCTCCGGACACCTCCTTCCAGCCTCCGTCAGCCGCTGCTGAGAATTAACACCCTTCACAGGGTGGCTGCCGCAGAGTGGTGCCATTTCGTGTATCTGGAACAGGTCCAGAATGGGCCTAGTCACAAAGTCCCAAAGACGGGGCAAACAGCCCCACCCTGCTTCCTCACACCCCGTCTGAGCAGATTTCAGATAGTTTTGCTTGAGAATCAAGGATTTGACCTCTTTTCAATTGAGGCTCTCAAGCACTTTTTTTCCTATTCTCTATTTTCTTCTCAGCTAGCTCTGACAAAGTCAGTAGTAGATGGTGAGTAGTTGATCCCCACCCACTCTCTGGGCCAGTCTCGGGTCTGTAAACCTCTATCTTGTATTCTCTCAGTTATTTCTTTTCCGTACTGATCCTACTCAGTCCTTTCTTGCACAGAACCAGCTCCAGACCAGGCTCTCCTTGGAGCACCCTATTGTAGCAGCCAGGGAACGGGCCAAGCATCCTCAAATCCTGACTAGCAGCAGGCACTTCACACCCAAGTCATCCCAAAAGCATTGTGGACACTTTGATTTCAGGTGATAAACTAAGCAATAGAAGACAGTGTACAGGTGCCAGCTATCCCTCCACATAATCCTGTTTAAAAATCTCAAGTTCCTTGCTGTATGTGTGAAAGAGACGTCCTCAGGCACAACCTCCTCAAGAAGGATTCTTTTTCTTCTGGTCTCAGAGCAAATGTGGCACAGCTGGGTCCCTGTCGGTGCCCTAGGCCTGAAAGTGCTGCAGTCATGAAAGCTAATAGGACAAGAGCAGCGAGTGCTATAGGGTGTGTTAAACACTTGAGCAACTCCCTTTCCTGTCAGCAGGGAGCAGAAGCACACATGTGGACTAAACCAAATTAGGACTAAACCAAACAACAGTACTCAAATAAAGGCACCCTGAATCAACACACTTTAACATGGGAATAGCCAGCGACTGCCGCTGGAGCTTCATACAGCTCTTGACACACCCCAGTACCCCAGAAAGGTTGTTTAGGTGCCCAGGGTGCTGGTCACTGCTCCCACGTGGGTAGGTGTGCACATCTGTGAGCACGTGTGTAAGTGAGGAGGAAACCCGCGTGCAGATGAGGGCTGAAGCTGGCAGAAGTTGTTGGGGCAGGTTTGGCACCGAGCAAACAAAAACTCCCGGTTCTCAAACACATCTCAACCCCATCTGCAAAGGAGCAGGTCTGGGAGAGGGGACTCCTGGATCTGCAGCCTGTCCACCCCTTAATCTTAAATGTTTTTTGTGTAAGAACATGACACGGTGCCAACCATTAAACATTTTTTTATTCCATTAAGCAGGCACCTGTTAAGTGGAAATTCCAGCATTGCTGTTTACTTTTGGTATCAAGTGTCATGCACTTGGGAATTACTATTACGAACTGTCAAATTATGTGTCCCCCCTATTTATTTCAGCAGAAAATTGGATTTTCGGTTAAATATCTTTTTTTAATTTCCAGTTTAGGGGTGGGGGCTGGTGAGAAGCAAAGACACACACCGCTTGAACCTATTTTTCAACCAGCTTCCTGGAGGTGATAGCGAGGTGACTATCACCCATAATGGGATTTAAGAGCTTCCATATGCCCAGTTAAGAATTCCCTGAGTTTTTTTTAGTCTCCTCAGCTCAACCAGTTTGACTTCAGAATTAATTTACATTGATTTAGGAGCTGGTTTTCCAAGGTGTTGAACACACGCCATCGATTTTAGCTGAAATTCTAAGTGCTCAGCCTTTCTCAATATCAAATCTTTCCTGTTTAAAGGAACAAAAAGCAGATTTGAAGTTTATTAAAGCCAGACCCATACACTCAAAGGAAGGGTTATTAGCCTCCTAAGTGATTCTGTAAGTTAATATGTCTTTATTAGTTGGCTCTTTTCAACCTAGCAAGTGTTGTGGAATAGACCACTATAAATTACATAAGCTTTATTTGAACTGGCTTCTAGTAAAACCTAACACACCTACTAGAAGATTGTTATATAAATGTCACCTTCTGGTCAGCAGTCTGAACTAAAGTACAGATTTATTCTACACTACAGCTAACACACACAAAGTCTTTCAGTTTTCTCATGAAACCAGTCTCTGGATAAAATTCAGAAGTGGCATAGACAGCAGTAATTCCTTTGTGTTCAGCATCGAAACCATTTTAGACCAGCTCTTGATTTGGTCCTACATTTGCAGGGGAATAGAAAAAAAGAAAAAGATTACTTCACCAAATAATTTAATTTGTCCTCGCCTCATGCCGGGCCAGACAGTAGCTTTTTCACTGCATGTACGAGTAAGAGCCAGAGACGCTTTTGTTTCCATAGTTTGGGGAGGAGGGACCGATCAAGGACTAATTTTTTTTTTGAGGCCATGTAGAATTAGGCAGCCAAGGCCACATACAGATGAGTGTAATTGCCCATTTTATTTCCAGAGGCACTACAGCACTTGTCTTCAGCTCTGGAGACTTACCATCTCTACTGCCATACATACTCTGCAGAGTCCCTCTCCGCATTGATCCAAATACAGGAAGGAAAACGATTAAGTGATATCTAGAGTTAGCAAGATTTCAGATTATCTACCAGCTAACTGTAAATGCAGCAGCAGCAGTCTGGTTTTCTTATTAACAAACAGCACTGCCGAGAGCTGATCTTCTGTCAGGCTTTCTGCAGACTCAGAAACAGCTCTTGCCACATGATTGACTTGGTTTTTTGTATTAATTCAGGGAACCTTTCTCAGAATGATGTTTCGAGGTTGTATGTTATCTTCTTTAAGAAAAGAGATGGTGGGGATGTGGTCCTTGGCCCTCATACCAGGAGTCGTGTTGTCAGCACCAGCCTATGGCAGAGAGCATCGAGTTTTCAGAGGTAAACCCTGCATAATCTTGGGATACCTGCATAAGGCAGCCACCACTTCAGTACAGGCCAGAATACAGTCAGATGGGCATATAAAGAGCTGTTTCAAAATATTTAAAGGAAGGGTGATGCAGCACTAGGTAATTCTCCACAAATTGCTCTTGAACCTACAAGAGCACTTCTGTAAGTCCCACCCAAGAGCTCCAGTCTTGGGTGCAATGACCAACACGCTGCCCTTCCACTACCACTCCACACCACTGTTTATTGCCTCCACACAGGGGCTGACCCCCACATGTTCTAACACTATTACTAGCCAGCTTCTGACAGTCAAACAATGTTTTTGATGACCAAATTACCTAATTCTGTCTTCAAAGGCCACTTCCTGCTTGTTGATCATGTCCTAAGAAATTCCTATCAAGGTAACAAAGCATTTGGGGTTTTGTCTGCAAGGGAAAAAATATCTATTGTCTCCATTAAAAAGATCTATTCTTACTAGTAAACACTTTTAAAATATGTTTGAGTATTATATTTCAGGTATTTGAGGTCATCATGGAAGTTTTGCTTGAGAAAGGACACAGGAGGAACACCACTGATTGAAAATGACCCTTTCAGCAGTCTACCAAAACTCTCCACAGATTTAGAGCAGTTGTGAGAGGGTGAAGGATGTACTTACTGCAACGGCTTTTGTAGTATGAGCTGAGCGTGCCACGGGCCATACGACACCACCAGCCTTGCACAGTGCCAGCTTGCACTGGACATACACAGAAGCAAATGCAGTGCAACCTCATCGTTAGCACACTGCAAGCTTCCTGGAACTCTTCCTGGTACCTCTCTTTAGTCTTCCCAGCTGAACTCCTGCTTGGTGAAGGGAGAAACAATGATCTGTACAGAGAAAAACTCCTCACAGAGCCCAACTATTTGCCTGCCACACTGATCTAGAATTAAGAGCACACCTCACCCTGTATAGAGCACTCTGTAGTTCATTCCTTACATCCAGTATTTTTCCCTGTGATTTCCTCGGGATTGCAAGACCAGTAGCATTCTCACTTCAGTTCTCAGGATGACTTTCTCCTAAATTTCCCCAAAGAACACACTATATTGCTCTAAGGCTTTTAACTTAAATTAACAACCCTCTGTCTTAAAAGAAGCATGGAGCATAATTTAGATTAGGACATCCTACCCACAAATATCTCTTAGGAGGCACCTGTAAAACACCTGCACAGTGCCAAACCTTCTGCTGTAAACTTGCTGCAGGACAGTTTATGTAAAGGGGCTGCAATCCTCATTTAATTTACATTGTCATTTAATTTATACACAAGCTTCAGCTAGTAAAAAAATCTAGCCTCTAAAACTGATAGTACGTGGAAAGTTTCCCAAATATTATAGGGGCAGAGGCTGTGTAAGAAATGAGCTATTTCCAAGCCAAAGACATCAAAACTGAATGTTTCAAGCTCGCTTGACTAGATTTTTGCCATTTACATATTCAGCTTTAATTAATACTACTTTCAGAAACCATTTTCTCAGTTTAGGTATACTACAGAATCTCTCAGACGTGCTAGTTGAGAAAACAATCTGGTTTTCATTTCTTGAGAAATTTATCACGACATGTATGTATAAAACTCCTCGAAGGAAAAGGTTTTTCATCTACCAGCATAACACAACTGTAAACATCACCTACCCACAGGACAAATGGTTGCTGTTGCAAAAAGCACAGGCCCCACACTTGATTCTTTCTTGTAGCCTGATCACTGCAAGAGAAACACTACTAGCTGCGTTTTCCTTGCTATAATAAAGCTGTGACCACAAAAGCTCCCACTGCTCCTTGGAAGGCTGGCTGTCAGCTCCCCATACCAGAAAAGGAGTGCATCAGTACGGATCCTCCACTCTACTCTTACCATCTCCATGTAGAGCTTCAAATCAAGCACAATAGAAAAATAGCATACATGGAAGAAATGAAGATTAGAAGCATCCTTGACAATCCCTGAACTTCTTCTCATTCTTTCTAATTAACTTGAAATTGCTGCTTTATAAAATTCTCACTGATGTCTGAAAACAGCTATATACTAATGAAGACATGGAAAAAGAGGTTTTACAGTAACAATCATTTTAATCCACATTAACTGGTGATATCTAAAGTTACAGCTGGTGATAGTATTTCTGACAGACCAAGGCAAAGCTGTGTTAATAGATACATTTGTTTTGTTTATAGGACTTACATGCTTTGCGTGAAATGATTCAGAAAAAAATGCAGGGTGAATGCAGGCAATCAGAGGCCATTCATCATTCTGCCTACGTTTTTTTTATTAATACATCCACAGATCTGCAACTGTGCTTATTCCACAAGGGAGAAGTTCATGGCAGAGGGATTAAAGCAGACAACCTTTATCATCGTTCTCCAGCTGTCAGTCAGCCTTTTTTATCTGCCAGCATGTGTAGACAGTATCAGCTCCATTAACAATGCCACTCCTTTAGTGGCACTGGATTGAAACGATGACAACATTAAGCAGCTACTGCAAAAGACACAAGATTCAGAAAGCTGAAGTAGTTAATTGGCTGTTTCTCAAACACCCGCAGCAATTCACTTTGGTTCCATTGGTATACTAGTAATTAAAAAGCTAATTGCTATTTTATTTTGGAAGGCGAGAAACCCTGAAAATAAAGTAATGAGAAACACAGCTTGCTGACATGAGAATGGTAACACGCTCTGTTCTCATCAATAGATCCCTGCAGTATAAGTGAGCTATCACTTCGTGAAGGTTTACACAAATACTTGTCACAAGAGTAATTAGCTGATCAGGAATTTAGGCAATACCTCCTTCCCCTTTCTCTATCTGAGGTCCCAGAGAAGATTCAAGGTTTAAATAGAAAACTGACACTGTTATTCTATTTACTTTGATGAAACCTCTTCTAGCTGATGTTCAAGAGATAAAGACCCTTGGGCTAAAATTTTCCCCCTCACAAATTAATTCCCCCCCAGCTCCACAGAATGTTTTCCAGGTACTTAAGCCCAAATTGAACTTATCCTTTTGTTTGAAAACAGTCACTAGTGAAAAGACTGGGCAAACTGTAATTTTGCCAAAATACAAGTAACAGAATAATCTAAATCTCAATGTTTCAATTGAAAGATGACTTACAAATTTGTGAGTGGTGGAACCACTTCAACCCATGCCCAACATCTACAACTGGGCAATGTTGACATCACTGCCTGCTGCTGTCACCTGCTAACAGCGTTGATTTCCTCCTGATCATAGAGCTAAACAGAAGAATGCCTGAACAAGCTAAAAACCACTCTGGGGAGAGCTGATGCTAGCACGGCTTCCGCTAGGCTACGTGGAGAAACAAGAAGTGGGTCCTGAGCTACAAAGGGTGATGATACTAAGAGCCTGCAATGCAGAGGGGGTATTTACACTGATGTTACAGAGAGCTTAAAATGCAGAAGGGGTATTCAGTGTGAGTTGGTGGGTGTGCTACAGCAAGTGTGCAGAGGCAGAGAGAAACAGCAGAGTAACTCACTTTATGTCATCCTCTGGAAGAGGAAACCTTGACAGCTTTTGAAAATAGCTACCAGGCCACTTGGGGAAGAAAGGAGATTCACAGAAGACTCTTTTTTCTATAGGGAAAAAGGAATGCATACCGAAAAGTAGATTTCAAAGGGGAGAGGAAAGAAAAAGCCCAGAAATGCAAAACAGAAAACACTGACGTAGCAACATGGCAGGATCTATGTTCGGTAGGGAGTAGGAAAGAATTGTTCTTACATCAGCAGACATTCACAGCATGCCACATAAGAAAACGGTGAAGTTGGAGGACACTGTTGGTATGCTCTACCACAGGAATACGCAGCACCGCTGTCACCAGCACTGTATAGCTTGATCAAAACATATTTTGAAAGTTGCCATAAGAAAGTATAGAAAAAGTCACCTTCCATAGCAAGCTGTTTCTATTCACACTGAACGCCCTGTATCATGAAAACACACATTGTATAATCCTTGTTTTTTACTCACAAATTTATTTCATCATCATAATATCAGCTGCAGCATAGTTAGGAATGTCACCACCTTAATATTGAGAGATCATACACAAGAATTGCTTGAAGCAGCAGTTAGTGTTAGTAGCGCTGATTAAGCCAGTTGTGAGTTACAGGCTGACACACAAAAAAGCAGGACTAATGTTGCACTCGTTATGGAAGCAAAACTTCCACCTCCCAAGCGCTTTTTATGGAGGAAAAAAGAAAACTGGAAGCCAGTTGTTTAATTTTATTATTTTTTTTTTAAATGAAGTGTTGCTGAAAATCATTAGCTGAACAATGACAGCATTTTCTAGTTACAATTTAAAGAAAATACAAATAATGGTATAAATAATATCAAGCAACAGCTTTGCAGAAATTGCTTAAGGTGCTTAAGGCAACGGCTATAACTGATACTACAAATTCTACTTCTATATACAAATCTATACATTCCATAAATATAGCATCAGTTGAATTTTAGTCCACTGATGTGCTATTCAGTATGGGATACCTCAGCTTTCACTGCAGATTAGAAGCTCCTGTGTTCTCATACAAATTCGTAACGGTGATACAAGAAATTCAGTTATTGACATAAGTTACAAGAAATTAATGCTCTGTGACACTAACAGCAGGAGACTCACAAGCTGGTGTTTTGCCTTGCTTACCTACAACAGGGATTTCTACAGCAGCTGATCCTCTGTCACTCACACTGTAACTCTTAAGCATAATGAGAAGGACTAGGGTTCTTAATTCATTTTTTCCTCTGATTTCTCTATGTTTTTAGACTAGTCTCAAACATTTGGTCCTTATATTAACAGTACTTTTATAGCTAATTATAGAGATTATGATTTCCTGGAAAGTAGAAAATGGAACTATCATGCCAAACCCTCTCCATCTCTTCATGGGATGCCAGGAAGGACTAGATTTGTTATTGGTGTAGATTACTCTTCACCCTGAAATGTAGAAGTGGAAAAAAGGAAAAACAAGTCAGTCACAGGCACTCTCACAAAGCTAGTCAGGTTTCATCTGTCAAAGAGAAAAGCTTTCTTTTTGAAATTTATCTAATACATTAAAAAAAACCCACACACCTCTGGTATGTTAGTCTTTCAAAACACACTTAATAGACTACAGCTTCTTGACAAACACTTAACTATTATCAGATTATGAAACCAGACTGTGATTTTAAATTTTTTTTTCTACATATAATTACAAAACATTCTCAGTTAAGAGACAAGTCAATTAGATGTATCCACTTCATTTTTCAGGATTCCAGGATTCTATGCACAAAGCATATATACAGCATATAGAGACGAGACTCATTGCATATTCTTCTTATGAAGTTTCCACTGTTTGGTGAATCCTTGGATTAAAGTCTTCAACAGGATTACCGTAACTGTACATTGCTTACTCCATCAGCGTCAACTGAGTTCAGCTTTATTACATCTTACTGTAACAGAGTTCTAGTGTTGTTTTAACACCAAATACTACAGATAGCATTTTTTGAAGACTGTGGATAGCTTCCATGAGATACCCACCTTTAGCTGGGCAAATGGTTCTAGCTGACCATTAGATTTCCATGGCAAGTGGGAAAATGAAGCATTTCCAGGTTTATTTTCTTTCTTCAGTGTTTGTGAGAGAGAACCAGCTGCACACATTCACTGTGGGAGAAATGGGTGGAAGGCTGTACCCATCTTACACAGAGAGAGGATAAGACTAAACCATCCTCCATTATTTAAGGTATCGTATGAGATTCCTAGTCAGAGGACCTGGTTGTATCACTTCTAAGAGCCACCTCAGCGTGGATGAAGGCTGTAAGCATTAGAGTATCAAATGAGCATGAACCACAAAAATTTCTCTTAGTTTTCAAGGGGAACTGCTAAACTTCAAACTCCAAAATAAGGAGTACCAGAGATCCATCTAAGGCCAGAACATTTATAACACAGCATGATCCGCCATGTGATAGAAGCCACAGAATCAGAAAAATAATCTAATTAATGATTGTTGCTGGGAATCCTACATTTCGTAATGAGCTACGGCATCTAGAGCAGGTTGGAAAATTGCAGCTGGAGCCTCCAACTATGTGTCACACATTCTGGCTTGCAAGACAAACAAGGAAACCATTTAAGATGATGTAGGCTGTAACATGACTCCTGTCCCATCTGCATGAAGCAGAAAAAAACCTGTTAGAACATGGATGCCACTATTTGTGCCACAGAGCTGGGCCCAGGCTTGCCAAATGCAATCCTGTAATGCCAACTGTTGGCCAAGCCAAGAAGCAGTAGCCACCATGATGGGAAACAGATGAAAACCACTGCTCATCACAATGAGAAATGCCAACTCTTCATTTCCTCCATAAAAGAAAACTCCCAAGAAGTTTCTTGATTGGAATCACAGAAAGTGAAACAAAGAAAGAGTGGAGGGAAGAAAGCAAGTGGGGTATTTCTAGTGAGATCAGAGCTGTGTTTGTCACATTACCTAGTGTTGAGTGGAGCTGTTCTGGTCACGCATACCGTAACTCCTCTGCATGTTTTCTACATCCCTGATTCAGAAAGACACTTAAGTACACACATAACATTTGAAATATATGTTTAATTACAAAACACAGTCTACATTTGAAACTAGACTGTGAAAGTCTAATTCTAACCAAAAAATATTACACCTCTGGCTTGATCATGTTACAAATTCCAACTGCAAGTGTTACAGAGCGTCATTCTGGACATCTGGCCTAGTTTTTGTTTGGGTTGTTTTGTTTTGTTTTTGGTTTTGGCTTTTTTTTTTTTCTTTTCTTTTCACTCCAGAGAATCCAGAGAAAGGACAGGCAAGCATGCAACATAGACAAAAATCCTGAAAGTTATGGGTTGGCTTTGTTGCTATCTTTCAGGACAAACTGCAGTTCAAAGCTTAAAATACAGGGCAGGGGGGGAACTCTCATATCCTCCCCATCTCTGCCTCAGTGTTACTTAACTTTTCATAAAAGCTTTCCATGTCTATGCAACATTTCTAGCAATTGCTAACTAAGTACATGTGTGGTGGGTCTAGAGAATAAACTTAAAACCATGCCTTAAGGATTAATATATGAGTGCTCAGAATGGAATTCTGAAAACAACTGTGCTGTACGCTGAAATATGGTACTTTATTATTTTCAGTGCTTTTGACTAATTCTGAATTGAGATAATGCTAAACAGACCCAATTAGTTCAATAAAAAGAAGGCAACATTCAGTCTAGCAGAGTCATTCATTATAATATTTATTCTATGAAACAAAGAAGAAAACATAAGATTGAAAAAATGTTCCATGCATTTCATAAAATACAGAGAAAGACATTGTCACAAACAAAACAGAACAAGAAATCAAAACCCCCACTGAAAATCCTGAGAGCTCCACTCTCCACATTGTATCATATAAATGCAAAAAGCATATACAGGAGAGTAGTCTAAGGGAAGTGGCAGGTTATCTGTCAATATCTGGGATGAGTAAACCAGTCCACAAGACTTTTGCCATCACCACTCATCATAAAACCAAACTGATGCAACTTGTTTTCCCTGCTACCAGATCTTGGCATTATCTTTGGCTGGGAAACAAGGATAGCACAGCAGAATTCATATTAAGTTGCAGTCTAGAAAGATATTAAGGCCCAAAGTATAGGTAGATGCAGAAAGTTAGCAGGGTACAACAGGTGGGAGGAGATGACAGCTGTTCCACTACTGAAAGCAAGGTGGAAGGATATGTTTTGACTATCTTACCAGGAGCACAGGAGGTAGGAATTACATCCTGCAAAAGCAGGGAATATATCTAGCACACCTTTCTTTAAGAGTCCCAATAACATAAAAGACACACTGCACTGCTGAGAGCAACATCTTTCTTTAGGTTACAAATTACATTACTATAAACCTTCTCACTGAAAGCTTTTGATCCAGTTCCTTCTCCTCGACCTACAGTACTCTGGCTTTAGCAAAGCTGTTTCAAGATCCTCTCAGATTCCCACAACGGTTACCAACCACGTAACCACCAACTACAAAGCCAATCTACATCTGGGCTCTGACACAAAAGCAGCCCCCATCTCTTACTGGGAATGCCCAAGAGTTGCCAGAGCTGTATTTGGGGAAGGTGGTGTAGAGAAAGGGAAAACAAGGCTCTGCTTACACAAACACCTATTACCCCAAAAGCCCCACTCCATGCAGGCTTAGGAACACCACAGTCAAAGAGTTTCATGTGGGGAGGAGCAAAGAGAAGACAGAGGACTGGGATCCTTCCCCTGCATCCAGGGATGCATCCACTTCTCTCACAACAGCTTTCTTCTGCTAGCTACCAAGCTATTTCTGCTGCAGTGTGGAAGGTTCTGCATTGGCCTCCTGTGAACGATGCACCATGGGGGGAGATTGTTACAGTTACAAATGTGGTTTTCACGTTGTTTCTTAAAAACATAAAGCTAGGAACTCTGATTTTTTTTTAAATTTACAGTAAAGTGTCATTTAACCTGTAGCATGAAATATTACAAAATCAGAACATGTGAGATACAGAATTGCCCGTGCTACACCTTAACTTTGTTCCTTTCCATGTACGTATCAGGAATATGACTTAACAACACATGATCTTTTCACCTTTCAATCCCCAGAAGAACCTTATTTCACGCCCTGGACAAGAACAGATGAGGCAGAAAGAAGACTCCGTAGGAAATCCTAAGCCCAGCATTTCTCACTTTTGAGTGCTTGCAGCTAGAATAATGTTTTCTTGATGGAGTTTTAAAAATTCAATTATGTTTTATGTGCTCCATTTACCTTGCATTAGGAAAACAGAAAATGCTGTAAAAGATTAAGGTCTTGGGTCTTCACAGGTCTCCCCAGGCCTTGGTGAAACACAAAGACCAAGTCTTCTGTTAAAGTAACTGCCCAGCTTCCCAGCTAGTGTAATTTCTGTATTGTCCATGTAAACATTACACAGTCTTTGTACCACCCACTAAGCTCTTTGCCTCAATCAACTATTTGTGCCCAAAAGCACATCCTTATGTTTCTTCCTACACCACAGCCGTCCTCCTACACCACAAAAGACGTAACAAAATAGGAATTAATCATAGGCTGGATACTTACAGGAATTGCTGCTGTTTGCTTCTGTCTTCCCAGCCTTGGCAAGTTTGGTTGAGTTCTGCTGCGCTTTGCCTTGCTCCTCTCCCGTTAGCAGGGCTTTTATTTCAGAGGGGATTTTCCCTTGGTCCATCGCCATGCACCACTGCTTGTACTGAAATATGCAAACATATTAGGCATTAGCAAACTGCCAGGATCACATTAGCAGACAAAACAGAGCTGTAATCTTTACCTTCCGGTATATTCATTTCAGGTTTGAATTTACTGGGCTGAAGCCTCTTACAAAACTGCAGAGCACTAATGAACTAAGCACGTGTCCATGATTGCATACCTGGCCTCAGTAAATCCTGTTTCAGTCAATAAACTGCTACTCAGTGGCAGTACTAGACACAATACTGTAATTATTAAACAACATGGAACACTTTGTGCATTTTCTCACTGCTGGCATGCCAGAATACCGTTCCAGTTCATGGCCTATTAAAAACAAGTATTTCACATGACTCTGAGGCTGACTGACTATAAAGAGGTCCTTTCTGATTGTGTAAGGCATGGATACAGCACACGTCCCTTATTCCTAGTTCTTGCATCTTGAATGCTTCATCAGCAAACCCTGAAGCACCCCGAAAAACCTGTGGTCAGTTGGCTGACTTTCCACCCAGTCCTAACCCTATTCACCTGTGGCGATTAGCCCTGCCTATTCAAACAAACCTAATGTAAGGTCACGGCAATATCCTCACCACCAGTGAAATTTCAATGACATCTCAATATCACTGAAGAACTAAGACTGTATTTTCAGATGAAAGATTCTCTTCGGTTAATGCAGCTTATTTGGCTGAGACACCCATCTTATACGTGCTGGAACACAGGACAGCTGTGCAACCATCTACACAGAGGGTATGCTGCAAGCATCAACCTCCCCAACAGAGACAAAGGTCTGTGGGAAGCAATGACAGACTGTGGATATATGTTCCCCCGTGATATTTTATTCTATTTAACACATCTCTTTCTACCCTCTAGCTCTTTCTACCTCTGTCAGAGGTTTTCCAAAACAAACATGTAAAAGACAACAGGCTCATATGCAATGGCACTTTCTTTGCTTACTTCCAGTTCAAAACCAGCAGATAACTTGCGACATGAGGTTTGTATTCAACACAAAGTAGGCAAACAGCTGAACGCATCTGTTACTGATGTTTTGATACCTTATGACTAGCTAAATCCCACTCTCAGTCACAGTGATTTCAAGAAAAAAATGTCCACAAGAACAGGTCCCAAATAATACTGAGGGATAAGCTAAATGATAGTTTCTTACCATTTCAAGCTCTTCTCTGAGAGCACAGATGGCTCGCTCTCTGCTTGAAACCAGCTCTTCCAGGTATTGGTACCTCAGCTTCTTCCTGGCTCTGCACTCTCTTGCACTCTGACGACTTCTTTCAAGTTTTGCTTTCAAGTCTATTTTGGCTGGTTTACGACCCCTCTTGCCTGGTTTCTTTACCTTGCCTCCAACCACCTGGAAAGGAAGAGAACAGTAAAGATCCTGTTCTGCAAAGGTAATGCTATAACCATGTCATTGTGCCTACCAGACGTCTAAATTGGAAAATCTTCCATATACTTTCACTGATTCTGGAACAACAGAGGAAATAAGGGGGGTGATGTATGAACTTTTCAGTGATAGAATCAAAAACAAAAGGGAAGCATGTAACTTCATAGTGAAGTCAGTGCTTAAGCAGTAACTCCAAAGACTGGTTGAGGTTGGCAGACTCCTCTGGATGTCATCTGGTCCAACACCCCTGCTCAAGCAGGGCCACCTATAGCTGGCTGCCCAGGACTGAGTCCAGATGGCTTCTGAATATCCCCAAGGAAGAAGACTCCACAATCCCTCCAGGCAACCTCTGCTAGTGCTTAGTCACCCCCACAGTAAAAAAAGCATTTCCTCATGTTCAGATGGACCCTCCTGTGTTCCCGTTTGTACCCACCACCTCTGGTCTTGGCACTGGGTACCACCGAAGAGAGCCTGTCTCTGACTTCCTACCTCTGCTTCCTCTATTCCAGTTGTACCTAACCACTCTGGCCATGTTTACCTTCCAAACATAATTACACAGCTTGGAAAATTGTATCCTTGCACCCCCTCCTGAAACTTATCCTAGTGTTCAACTTTCCCGGCGCCTAATTTACATCTCTCTTGACGAAATGTAATCACCTAGTTTCGTGTCCTATGGGGTGTTGATTTTGCAGTAATTTTCCACTCCTCTTTATAGCTCCTTTTTTACAGGTCTGAAAGTTTCTCTTGCAACAAACTTTTTTATAAAAAAAAAAAAAAAAAAAAGGGACTAGTTTCCTCAGTGTTTACTCTATGCTTCCCCACCCAAATATTTTACTCCTAACATGACAGCATGGCACAAGAAACTCTTAAATATGGTCTGAAACTTAGTACACTGCCCATTGCGTAGTATCACCCTGTAAGCATTACATCAGCCACATACCCCAGCTCCCCACCGAAGTGAGGATTTCTTTTTATTTTCATTCTGACACTGTTTGAATGGAGGGGGTGCGGAGAAACACACCTAACACACATGTACATACTGCTGGCTTAGAGTTTCACCATACCATATACAGACGTGACTTTTTCTAATAAGCAGTGTTGAAAATATCAGAGTTCATAATTTTAAAAAGCACTTTTTACTGTGTGATGCTACAAAATAAGTTGGCTTTGACATTCAAAGAAGTCAATTGTTCACAAACTCAGCAGGCTGTAATAAAAACAATAACATAGTGAACTGATGTGCTAGAATGAAGGAAAAAAAGGATTATACAATTGAGCCTATTCTTTCTTTGGAAAGTGAGTCAACAGTCACATGCCAACATAATCCTACCCTTTCTACATTGCCTCTCCTAATTTACTCAGGAGTAGCTGCCTATCACAAGCAAATGGAGAAACAGAAAGTACTTAATGGACATCTAGTGATAATGAAACAAACACAACACATTCAGAAAAGCAAAGAAAAAAAATCAAGCCCTTTTACATTTGAACCACTGGATATAGTTTGAATAATCCATTCACTCCACCAAGGTGCTCTCCTTATGATTTAGTTCAAATACTACATTCACCAAAGTAGAATAAATCTAACCACCTATTCCCAAGGGGAAAAGAAGCTCCAAAGAAAAGAGACTGTTCCTTTTCAGGCACAGTTCTGTCCTCTCATGGCACCACACTCATATTTATGCATAGTGTGATTTATACTCCTAGCTCAGCAGGAATTAGAAATACACGTAGTCTTCCCAGGAGGAGCAGAAGGCACTCACAATTTGCTCTCTATTATTACTTGCACTTGAAAGACTTCTGGATATTACATTACACACTACAGCCAAAGCACTTCAGTTCTCAAAGACTTTCAGCGCCTGAGGCTTTTCTGTGCCAATCAAGGGTAGCTTAAAGTAAATCTTTGAATTCAAGTGCTAGATAAGGTCTTGTAGAGACATACACTCCACCTCTCTTAAAAGACCTTTGCTACTCTAGAAGAGTGAGCTAGCACTCAAGGTCAGAGTCCCAGCACACCACATAAAATACCTCGAGTCTTAGTCCTACACAGGACTGTGTCACAGCCATGCCCTTTCACCAGAACGTCAGGCAGGTGACAAGGTGCTACCACACTGTTTCTCACAACCAGCAGGTTAAAGTTACCGGCACACAGCAGCTAACCTTTCCACAGCCAGCAGCTTGGGTAGGCACTGGCAATGAAGGGCACTTGCAAGCAGCACTGCTTCACAGCAGTTAAATCCATCCAACACCACAGTCTCACAAAACAATTCATTTTTAAGGACCTATTATTTTAAAGTATCCTGTGTATGTTTATGTACATCTGGTGCCTTTAAGGTAGGGTGCCACCAACACAGAAAATGTATAAAGGGCAAGGTAGAACAGATCTTTACGCCAATAAGATATCACGTGAGCTTGTATGAACTCTGAGTTTAAAGGCATGTTTTTATAGACAGATCTAGAGATGTGGACATAAAACAATTAAAGGCAATTCGTAGACTGCAAAGAAGTTAGACACTGGTGTGAACTACTTTGCACATTTCAAATGCACTCTGGATCCACCATTATCAACTAATTGCTTTCCCTTTAGTCACTCCAGAGAGTTTTCTGTAGATAGGTGTATTAATTGCTCACTCTCTCTCCCAAGACCTTTTACCACTGCAGCAGCCCTGCAGACAAGCTCTCTTATGGAATGAAAAAGGCTTGTACATCTTGGGTCATTGTTTGCCAATGCTCTAACCACTAGGACTATGGAAATAATGAAAAGCTTCCTTCCCTTTTAACTCTGACTTTCAGCAGTAAGGCCCTAATAATCTGCCTTTACACCACCCAAGAAAAGTCATACTGTCTTCATGGCTCCTGAGCTGGAGTTCATCACACAATTAGGCATCACCCTGCACAGACAGTACGGTGAGTGATTTAATAAAACCCTGCATCCTTACTAGTTTTTACTCACCAATATTAGAATCTCCTGCTGTAACATTAAGCAACCCACTGGGGACAAAAAGGCCTGATAAATCCTTTACCACCATCCCACATTACCATATCTCCCTGGCTTCTAGTCACGTTTGCCTACTCAGTTGCTATGCTGATGTGACAGAAAGAAGAAAGCAGAAGTGCTAGTTGATGTTGAATATGGCAGCAGACCAAGAAAAAACAAGCAAGCAAACATTCTTTATTCGCTCTGTATTCCTCCAGTTTATAAAGGGCTGTGATCTATTAGCATTTAGCAGTAGCAGTTTGGTTTTTTTCAGGGAGTCACGCGATCAAGACTCAAAACAACTTTAATCATTAAATTTGTCATAGAAATATTAATAACGACATGCATTTGTCAGAAATCTGACCAAGCTCTTATTTCAGTTCACTCAGACTTCAGAAAATAGAAAAACATAACTCCCTCCCTTTTTAATACAGTACTTAGATCATTCTTGCCTGGCATCAGTGTTTGGGTACAAAACTATTTGACCTGGAATAGGAAATAGCTGCAATTACTTGCCCTGATATAGAAAAAGCCCTCAGATTTCTGGACTTGTTATTAGAGGGATTCAGCAGATCTCTACAGAAGCACTGCCAGATTGCATGATGAAGAGGTCCCCCTTCAGAAGAAGATACATGCATAATATGGCTACTAGCATTCACAATCCCAAGGAACTGAGCCACTCGCATAGAAGACTGTGAAAAAGCTGCCCTTGCTGTGACATCTGCAGGTTTTGAACAATTTGGCAGGTTTAAAACACTACCATCTGAAGCACTGTTCAGCACTACTGATCAGCAGTGCTGATCACACTGACCAGTTCAGCATCTTCCAGCAGCTCTCAGTTCATTCACAAAAAAACAAGTAGTTAAGTGCTCCATCAACCAGTACTTGAGATCCAGCTCAAGGAACCATCTCAAGCAGACTCTTGATGGTGGATGAAGGTATAGGTCTGCAGAACTCAATTTAGCATGAGGCCGACAATCACCTACAGAATTTATATAAAACTATTAAAATGATTAGCAAGAAATAAAACCTAAGTGCTGCATTCATTACAGTAGAGGAAGATGGAATCTATTCATGCTTACAAACACTTTCTCAAAATCGGTAATCAAATTAAGTCACAAGTCTCCTAATAAAGGTGATGTTACCTGATCTGCTAGGTCATAGCATACCATACACAGTGGCAGTATAAAACTCAGCTAGAAAGTATGCTGGTTATTCCTCCACTGCGTGGCATTTTATGTTTAACACAGATTATTTAGTTAACTTTCACTGGCAGACAAAATGCATTTGATAATGATCCAAAAATGTAAGATATTATTTAGTGAGCAAGCACTTCATAAGTCTCAAGAAGACATGTCAATAAAGATGAATCGTAAAACTCTAATCATATAAAGTGATTAACATATTAAGAATGTAATCTTTTGCACAGATGTGTAAAGAAGACTATCTTTGCTGAAATATCTATTTTAAAAAAGCATAAGCTAGGAATAAATATCAAGCTTTCATAAAGTGTTAGGCAGGCATCCACAAGGTTCAGGGCTGGCATTGTGACTCAGACTGTGCAGCAATCACCCAGATGCCACCCTGCTGCTCGCCATGCGAGGGGCCTCCTCCTCCTCCCCCCAGGAAGCCCTTACAGCCTCACGCATGGAAGCGCATCCACCAACACACCACACATGCTCTCCCAGTTGACACTAACAGAACCAGGCACTTCTTTACACCTATCTCTGTTAGAGCTCAAAACAAGCAACAGGGTGGGTCAACTCACACCATCGCGCATATCCTCCTAGCCCACTGCAACAATGAAATGGAACTGTTCTAGCTGTTCTGTAGGGTTTAAACTCATCCATTTTACTCACTCACTTCAAATGTGATAAAGAAGATGCATCATCTGATCAATGCTGAGCAGCAACTTCTTAAAACATCTGATGATTTGAAATCGCCCATCTCAAATTATAACCAAAGCTATTTAGGTTTTGTATTTCCAAGCAAGCAGCAATGAGAACACTTTACATGATCCTGGGTAGAAGATTTCTCCAGCACTTTGAAAACCTGCAGACTCTGAAAAAGCCCTGAAGGGTGAAAAGATAGTAACCCACCTCCTTAACAACTGAGGTCATAGTGAAAACAGATCCTGTGCTTTGCCCTCCAAACTAAGATAGTAACCCACCTCCTTAACAACTGAGGTCATAGTGAAAACAGATCCTGTGCTTTGCCCTCCAAACTAGCTCTCCGTCCGGCTGCGGCATTCAAAGCATTCCCCAGAGTCAGTTCCCAGGACTGACTGGGAGATCATCCCTCTCTGTGATCCCTGGAACCCACAACAGGCAGAGTCGTGAGGACGTCTCATGAATGAAGATCCATCAAGCACTCAAATTTTAAGTACAAGATGTCACATCTGACTTGCTCCCACACTCCCTCCAAGGGACATCTGCATACCCATAATTATGACTTCCCAAAAATTCCCCTCGGGACCACACATGACTGGGTATTTGATGTTTCAAAGCTAGGCAGCAGGGAAAGCAACTCCTTGTGCGCAGGCTTTTGCTGCAGGCCTTCCCCTGCCCTAACATGAAGTGCTCCCCCAGAACAGGAAGGCTGTATGAACACCAGAGCAAGACATCACCAAGTGCTCAATCCATAAATATAAATGTCCCATACAAACTGTTTATCTAAGGGCTTACTTTTTCAAACTCGCTTAACACCTGAAAACACTCTGACCTTGCCTATTTAAAGGCTTTTACTTCCCTTCATACACTGCAAGTTTGTGGAAGTTTAGAAATAGTCAGACCTCAAGACCAATGTCCTTGCCCAAGGCCCTGGGACCAGTCTGATGAAGAGCAAACAGTCTGAGCTGGAGACCCAGATTTCAACAGCCACAGCCTCTTTTACAGGTCATAAAGGAATTTGCTTCTTCATTCAGAGGGTGCAGCAATTTATTTACAAGCAAAAGAAAGTCAACAACCAAGAACCGGTCTGTTCAAAGTTGAGAAACTAACCTGGAATTAAAACAAGTGCAAGAAATTGAGATCTACTCTTAAAAAAATCTGAAGAGCGAACTGTTTTATTGTCATCAGAACTGGGTAACAAAAAGTTTTCCTTAATCTTTGTATAGCCAACACATGTCAGTAGCTACCTTGAACTAGAAAGGCTTTTTAAAAAGCTGTTGGGTGCATTTCAATAAATTTTCATTCCTATTAAAAAATAATCAATTACTACATTCTACTGCTATGATGAAGAATAATGCATTATACATTAAAAAAAATAATCTCATTCTAAATTAAAAATACCATTTAAAATGTAATTTTTGTCTCCAAAATGCACTTCTTAAAACTCAATCTACTCATTTATGTTCGGCTCAGCTCAGATTCTTTTTGAAGAAAAATACATTTCATCTAAACTTTTTGAAAACTAAAGCCATCTTTTCCTTACGAGACAAGTATATTTGTAAGAAGAGGGCAACCCCAACCTTTATTAGTTTTGGTGGTGGTGGTTTGGGTTTTGTTTGTTTGTTTTTAATTTTGCTGGAATAACAGAAGTGATCTACTGTTAAGAATTTTTTTTTATTTCTCATTTCTACCCATAAACTCAGAAGTTACTCACGTAAGTATTGCCATAGCACACCCTATAAAAACTTCTGTAATTAGTATAAAAAAAAAAAAAATGCAGTGAGCTATGTAGAACTGTATTTTAATGGTTACCAACAAGAGTTATTTATCAACTAACACAAACGTGAAAAATACTTCTTACTTTAATACAAACCCCTTGCTTCCCAATGTATATAACAAATATAAGTTATATGTAGTCTTGTAAACTAACCAACTAATTTCACCTATAAAGGCTGAAATCACATTAACAGAATTTGTCCTTTTTCCTGTGTCTAAATATTTCAGAGGTACGTGTTATTTTAAGAGAATAATTTCCAAGGAACAGCTATGTCACTAAACTTTTTCCCTTCCACAACTAATAGCTCAAACCACACCAAGGAGAAGTACGACCAGTATTTGAATAAGCCCTAGTTTCAGAGCAGCTCTATAGGAAAAAGATGAGATGGTCATATTTTGGGTTTGGTTGAGGTATTTTGTGTGAATAATTTAAGAACATCCTTTAAAACTGGAACATGAGACTTTTCTAGATCCACATTCAGATATTCTACCTCTCCATTTATTGCTTACTATTTCCTTCCTGTTTTGAGGAATATGTTACAATGAACCATTTTTCTAATGCTCTCTTAAAACAGGTAAGGCTAAATTATAGTGCATTAGGAACTAGGGAAAACATTACAACCTGTAAGTCCAACTCTAAATTCTTTGTGTCATACAGATGAAAGAAAACACTGAACTTGGGTGGATACAGCTATAGATTGGTTACCTCACACCTAATGTAGTTTAGTTATCTCACTATTTACAGGGAAATTCCTTTCACAGTCACACTCATTCAATGCACAGATAAAACTCTCTGATTAGGCAGGCCAACCCTCCCAAAAAGGAGGAAAATGTGACTCAGTGGAACTTGCAGAAGATTTCAAGAGCATGTTGGCTCAAGCTGGAAGACCACGCTGGCTATAAAATGAAGTACAAATAGTGCTTGCCTCATCCTGACACAGCAACATGCAGCGGGAAGAGCTCTCCCAAAAGAAACAGGATCTCTTGAACAGAGCCACCAAACCCTTTGGACAACCTGTAGCCTCATGAACTTGTTCTGAAAGTAACCGTAGCCCTCCAAAACAACTACAGTAAATCCTGTCAGAGCAGCAGACACCAACTAATATCATCTATTTTCAGTAGAAGATATGAGGATCTGATACAGCCCAAGATTATTACCTGATGAAAAACTTGCTGAGGTAACAAAGATTTACAAATTTTTCCTTGGGTACAGCCACACCCAGTAGTTCTGGGCAGGACTCTTTTCAATGCCACTGTCTTCACAAGTATCTCAGCAGTAAGCATTAAATAAAAACATCATACTAGGAAACTGTACTTGAGACTGAAGATGACGAGCAAATATTCCACTCTGCTTTTTTTTTGTCTTCACTCAACATCAAGTTTTCTAAATAAAAAAAAGATCAAAGAGCTGTCTTACTGACTGGGTGAAAAGCTTTAGCTTATTTAGTAAATGTATCAAAAAATGTTTCAGAAAAAAAGCAGATTATCAGGACTCCACAAGACACAACAATAGATCAAAAATTATTTTTTAAATGAAAAATTGGGAAATTATCTGTTACAAGTAAGTTAATTCTGATACAGGAGAAAAGAACTGTTCTTAACGCTAAAAGAAAAAAAAAAATCAGCTAATACTCACAAACTATATATGCCTCCAGAACTAAATCTTCTGGTTCTTCTAAACTACTGTCCTGATTACGTAAACTTTCATGGAAGTCTCACAAATGTAAGCATTTGGTTGTCTTAAGTGATGCAGTTTCCCCTCATCCTCCTTTGCAGCTTTCAGACAAGGCCTCAATAAAGCCAAATAGTATGTATGTTCATTTGGCAAGTCACCATGAACTCTTCACATTCTCACAATCCATTCTGTGATCCTTTAAGCTGCCAAAATACTGGTTGCTTGTAAATTTCTCAGATTTATTCCTGAAGAAATTATATCAAGTGGGTTTTTTTTCCTCCCCTTGAATTAAGGCGCATCAGCAAAGTCAGTGTGGTTTTGTTTTAGTAAAATTCAAATAAGAAAAAAACCAGGTAGCTTGAGCACAGATAAGGTACCACAGGCACATGACTACCACATGACCAGTTTTAATACTCAAGCCAAGCTCAGAATTTATTACATGTCAGAAGACAACTGCCTCACTGCCTACTTCAAGTGGGATTTCACCTAGCTCACTCCTGGGGACTTAAGCTATCTCCAGCACAAAACCCAGGATGCTACCATAACCACCACTCCAGTAATCTGAAATACTCAAACTCAACTGGTAGTTTCAGTTGCAAAACACTGCACTGAGTGGACACATTACCTATTTCCTCAGTCCTCACATGGGGCCTATAGGTCCTGCTTTAGGGGCACCCCTGTGTAAGCGGGCAGAAGAGGCACTCCTTGTGCATCTTCTGATGCTTTGCTCTGCTTAAATGGAAGACCTGTACCTTCAGGAATGTCACTGTGCTGCTCTCATAAGAGGATGCAGGAAGAATTGAAGCATCAGCTCCCATTAAAAGGCTGCAACCCAAGCTCCTACCCTTGTACCTTACACTTTGTCCACAGTTGCTATTTATTTAAGAAATTCAGGGTGCTAGAGGAGCATGATCCACGACATCAAACCAGACCACTGGTCTGTATCCAGCCGTCGGCCCGTGCCTGGAGCTGTAGGGAAAAGCCAGAAGCTGCATCCAAGCGCTGTGCTCCACTGCACGCGGCAAGGCAGGAGATGGAAGGGGACAATCCCTCCTTCCAACCGGCCGTGACCAGAGGCCTTCAAGTGAAGATCTCAGAGAAGGTTACTTCAAAAGCCTTTAGCAGGAGAGCTCTCCTTGCTCACAGTTCCCTGTTTATCCACTGTTAGGAGGCTTTATGGGGATTTACATCACACACCTGCACATCGCTTGGAGCTTGAACCCGCCGGGCTCAGGCACGGGAGGGCTACCAGGGCTACCCGGGCTCCCTGCACCAACGCACCGCCTCACCGCTTGCCCTCGTCTCCAAACTGGCCGCAGCCCCCGGGCGGGCCCCGCAGACCCTTACCTTGCTGTCGTCCATGTGTGCCGCCAGTCCCGGCCCCGCACCGCCGCCGCCCCTGCCGGGGGAGCGCACCGGAGCCGCCCCCAGCCCCGGCAGAGACCCGCACTCACAGCCCCCCGGCGCGGCCCGCAGCCGCCGCCATCGCCCGTCACCCTGTTTGTTTACAGCCGGCCTCCCCGCCCCGCGCCGGGCGGGAGGGGGAACGGCGACGGAGCGGTGCGCGCTGGGAAGAGTAGTCTTGCCCGGCCCCGCCGCCATTGGCCGCTGCCGAGGTGTGGGGTGGAGGAACTACAGCTCCCAGCAGGCCTCGCGGAGGGCGAGGCGGGGAGATGTGCGGCGACTGGTCCCCGCCCCACTGGGCGGGAGAACTACATTTCCCAGAAGGCTTCGGGCGCCTGCCCGCCCCTTCCTCCAGCTGGGACGGGTGTCTTCCTCAGCCCCCCCGGCGCCGCGGCGCGGCCTGGGCAGCCCGCCCGAGGTGTGTGGGGCCGCCGCCACCAGTCCTCTCCTGCCTCCCGTCCGCCGCTGAGGGCGTGCGGTGACTCTCGCATTGGCTCTTTCGAGCTCTGAGCCCTAATTTTAGCCCCAATCTTTCCTGATGATGATGTCACCACCACCCGTGCCGCCTCCGCCATGCCCAAGCTCCCTGGTTTGCCTGTCTGCAGCCCGGCCCAGCGGCAGCCTCTGGTGATTGTTCCAGAGCCATTAAGGTTCCAGCTGAGCTAACGTGTAACGGCTTGAGCATTAAAAAAAAAAAAAACAGTTTTCTGCCACTGTTTGTCTTGCTTCACCCTTTCAGTTCCTGAAGACAGAACTGAGTCTTCCTGGCCTCATGGAGATGCCAAGCCACCCCATGTCTGAAGGAGCAGGCCCTTTGAGACTTACCCTTTGTGGATACCGAGTTTCCTCTCCTTTCTGTGTCAACACATACCAGAAAAATTTAAGTGCTTTTGATGCAAAGCCAAACTGTGCATATGTACCCCCCCTGCCAGGTGCCTTGAAATTAGGCCCCTGCTTGCTCAAACAATGTATGTACCCCGGCGAACAACATTTTAAACAGGGTCCGTGTTTCAAGTTCACAGTGAAACCTGAAGCTAGGCATGTTTCATGTTGCTGCATGTTTCTTTTTATTTATGCAACTCTATTCACAAGAGTTTCCCATGACTTAATCTCTCTTACATGCAATTGTTAGGGCTAAAGGCTTTGTCATGGGATTTTCCCCCTGAATCACAGACCTTCCTCTTGGAGGGATATACTTGCTGGATGGCGGAGACAAAGCACTTTTTATACGCTTTTTTTTTTCTCAGAGCTTATATGCTTTTCAGTTGTTGAAGACAAGGCAGTTTGCACACTGCTTCTTATTTGCCTGTCCAAAACTGATGTATCAGTTCTTGCAACTCTACCCCTGAAATAATAAAAAAAAAAAAAAAAAAACAAAAAAAAAAAAAACAAAAAAAAAAAAAAAAAAAACACAAAAAAAACCCACCTCAAACTATTAAAAAAGCAGGGATGATCAGTATGTTAAGCAAGAGGCATCAAAGTGGAAGGAACAGCTCGCTATGAGCGTGCCTAGGTTGTCTCCTGTGATCCCCTCCCCCATCTTTGCCTTCAAATTCTTGAAGAAGGTGGTGAGGTGCCTTGTACCACCTTTTGCACTATCCTGGGGCCATAAAGCTGTCTTTAAAAGCCAGTTGGGGGTTTCCCTGGTGAAGGGAAATATTGAGTGGCAAAGAGCCAACATAGCTCACTTAGGCAACCCTCTGTTGCAACATGAGTGGAGGAAGGAGATTAGACAGAGCCCTGATGCTGATTCAGAAAGGCCAGAATCCTTTTAACCAACAAATTAAAGTTACAGCTGCAGTTTTTCCTTCCACTAGATTACCCTACACTACTCATTCTGCTTTATATCACTTAAGAAGCAGAGCTCTCAGCTTATGACCAGAATAAGCACAAGTTCCCTGCCTAAACACCTAAGAGCTTCCATATTTTAGCATGGAACACCTAAAAATACACATTTCAGTCTGCTTTTCCTCTATGGCTATGCTGTCATCCTAGATGAATACAAACATGCAAATTGAATGGGAGTCTGTGAGAAAGAACAGTTGTGAATGGATTTGAAAAGTTTATGCATATATATAGCACACAAGCTTATGATGTTTTAAACTGATTTTAACAGCTAGAAGGAAGTACTTTACAGAGCAAATAGTGAACTCTCGGAGTTTACCACCACAGAACACTAAGGCAGAGAGTTCAGCAGGTTCAAAAAAGGATTAGACAGATTTATGTTTCATAAAGAGGTACTAAAGGGATGTATTCTCCACCATCTCTAATCTAAGTTTGGGATGTTGGGAATGCATGAGAAGAGTGGAGGACAGAAAAAGGCCAAGTTCACTTATTCTCTCTGAAAAGTGTCTCTTCCTGCCACTCCCAGAGACAGAATACTGAACTAAATGGGCCCATAGTCAGGCCCAGCGGGGCTTTTCTTTCTTTCATATTGTCTAATGGGTCACCATTTTGATCTCCAAAGACTCACAAGTGAATTAAGATTTTTAAGTAAAATTTGTGTGGTTAAAGGCAGATGATCTGTGTACTAGACCAATTCATCCTCACTAACTGCAGGTTACTGTTTTTCCTAGTAAGTGATCATTCCTGAGTGATTCTCTGAGACATCCTGGTGGTTTTATTGCTAAACCATAGTGATGCACACCAAGGAAACACTACCTTGAATTAAACTCCATGTCACAAATTGTCTTACACAAATAACCATTGGCAGTTCCCTGCTCAAATGAATTATATTTATTAAAATAAGGGTTGTGCTTCTGAAATCCAGAGAGACTCTGAAGTATATAAATACACTGGGTTTGGTGATCAGGCAATAGTTTGAAAATCATTGCTTATGTCAGAGTGATTAAAAAAGAGCTAAAATTCATGGGGTGATTTTGCACCATGTGCTAGTATTTGCAGTGATGTCAACACATCCCAAAGAAGTGCTTATTTTCTCTAGAACTGTAAATGTTTTAATTTGGGCAAATGGAAATCTGTTCCTCTGAAAGCCTGCCTGAAATAATAAATCTTGCAACCTGTTGGTATCAAGACTCAGCATTTTGCTGAAATTGCTCCACTGTCTATTTGTGTAGTCCTTGCAAGTTCAGAGCCTTTGAGTTCAATGAATTCATGGATGGGAAAACAAGGATGCGGTTAGGGTATTTACTTGTTTGTTTTCCAAATGTACCAAAATGCCAGTTGTTTTAATAGAGACGCTAACTCATTTGTCATGGGGGAAAGACTGTGCAAGAACAGCCTGTCTTTCAGTCTCTTGGAATTTTTTGTAGACTCAGTAAAGAAACTGCATTTTCCTATACTCTTTAATCTGATATCCAAGAAACATTTCTGAAAATACAGGAAACTGTCTTTCAGTTTTTAGACTGTGTTGATGCTGAGACAGAGAACACCTTCAACTTGTCACTTATTTCCATCAGTTAAATTGTCACTGGGGAGTGACAAAAAATGTTTATTTACATAATATTCTATATCTTATTGTCACTATATTAAAAGTATACCAGATTTTTTTTTTTTTTTTACATTAGAGAAATAAGCTATATGTGCTAAAGCTCTGAAAGACCTGGTAAACACATGAACAAGTACAGTGATGGCCTCGTTGGTATGATTAAAAGAAAATTCTATTTAAAATAAAAGCTTTTTGAAAGCTGATTTTTAAAATCTAATCGGGAGCCTGATTGGTGACTACTTGCTATACACTGTATAATTAAATGTTGATAAGGGGTTTGCTCTCGTATTTGCTAAATATTCTACTCTGTGACAAGATGAGTGCCTTCTGTAGTTACAAATGGTTGAAGTCACATCTACAAGGGGAGTTCTTCCTGTTTAGCTACTGCATATTAACTTCTCAAGTAAAATGGACTCAAAACAAGTTCATTTCGACTAATCAGCTCTTGTCCTATATGTACACACACAGAGAAAAGTTGCAGCTTTATCTAACCAAACTAACTTTCCCATATAAGCAAAATCTTGAAACAGTGCTCATGAACCTTTTATATTGCTGAAGAGACAGAGTCTTTGTAAATTAAAATACTGCATGAAAAGGCTCATGCTGCAATTGGAAAGGAGCTTCATATTTGCTAGCTAGTAGAAGGGAGAAAAAAAAAAGTCAGATGCTTCTACACTTCATGCCTAAGATAGATAGTTCCAAATAAGATAAGAGAGGAAAACTAGGAATGGTTCAAAACGGCATCTGAATAACATGAATTTAATGCAGAATTTAAACTAAATATAAAAAAATGAGAACCAAGGAGCAAGACAAACAAATCACTGATTAAGAAGATGACGAGGAATGGGTTAAAGTTCAACACGGTGCGCAAGTGGATAAAATTTAATCTTGTTCTGAAACAACAAACAAACAGAGCAGCACAATATGCCACGTTCAGGAATGTGAGAGCCATGTTGTATCTGGCACTTGAACAACAGAGAATTATTGCTGCTGATATGGTAATAGCAGAGGTACAGAAAAAAGTGGGTGGATCATGTGAAATTCATGAAATACTTGAGGTGAACTTACAGCAGGATTAGTCTTTTTCTTTTAATTGTGTACATTGATCTCTATGTGTAACTCGTTTAGTAAAAAAAAAGCATATTGTTCATTCTCAGGAGGTTTAAAAATCCACTTCAGCTCAGTGTCATTTTTTGTTCTTAAGATATTTTGCAACGTGCTTCTCCTCTTTGGCCTACGCAAACAAATATGCCTGCATATGCATACCTATTAGAGCCAGGCAAAAACTGCTGCCTGTAGCTGGCCATTCTGGTAAGAGTATTTCTGGTTGCTTTCCACAAAACTTAAAGTAATTTTAAACTGTTTTGTGCAGACCCAGATTCTATGGCATGGGCTGTGCTCACACTCAGAACTTTTACAAACCTAAGTCTGATACTGTTGTCTTGTTCAAGGGCACAAACAAGGTTTCTGCATAGCTTGAGCACAAAATGAAGGACTCGACTGACAAGCTGGATCTGCGTTGTAACTGGGTCAGAGGACTTCCATGATGACCTTGACTACTTGCAGAAATGTCACCGTGTTTCATGTGAAGGGTCAGGTCATCAAATACAGGGCTTTGCCTTGGTCTGCACCACTCACTCTATCTTAAGTCAGCGTCATATCAGCTAACTTCTG